TCAAAATAATGAATCACACAATCACACACACGCACACTCACTCAAATGATCGAACAAAAAAAAATGTTATTTACCATGAAAAAAAAACAACAATAGATTTTAATCAACTGTTTTCAACACGTGTTCTCAATAATTCAAACCTATCAACATTGCCAGTGTTGTCCACATCAATACGAAAGTCCACACAATTCGGATCAACACTATCCTCCAAACTTCCGGGGCTGTAGTCCTAGACTGATGTTTGAGGATCAGTAGTATTGACTCACGACTGCTAGTGATTCCCGCGCCTAAACATCATCAGCGACTTCGTCTTCATCAACATCATCATCATCATTGACATCATCGTCATCATCATCGAAGTCATCGTCGACATCATCGTCGTCATCAACACATCATCGACATCATCGTCGTCATCAACACATCAGAGTACCCATAACACCTCAGCATGGTGCTAAAATATTAACTATCCTTTATCAGTAAATAATCATGTACTCTATATATGGCAATACTATGATACAATTATACTGGCTTTAATTAATAACCACATAGTTATGTTTGAGTTCAATATAACATAAACACTAAGATACTTTCAATATCTTCAGTTTGTTTACAGTTGACATAGATACAAAATGGCTGACAACACTTCCGGTCACTTACTTCCACTCAGACATTCAAATGAAAAAGTAATACAGCGAACAAAAATACAATAAAATACAGAAACAGGCTGTTCTTGAAATGTATAGAATCTCACTAAGAGCGATAAAACTTCTGATGAGAAAACCTATTCAAACACTCTCGCTAACGTCACACCTGATCGCACACACAGGTAAGTCATTGATGACTGCCTGCCAAGGTGAATTAATGTAACGAACTTTAAACGAACAATAAAACGTAACTAAAATACTTGCAAAATATACTTACAGTGGCTGGAACGTTATTGTTGACAAACCAATCGTGTAGAATCGTTCGTGTATCGTGAGTGATCGTTCGTGTAACCTGCAAGATCGTTCGTGTATCAGACTCAATCGTGTGCGTTTTTAATCGTGCATTTAGAATCGTGTAAATTTCGTTTTGTAAGTTTTTATCGGAATGTTATTTGTAAAATAAGTATTTCCCTTGTTTGTTTTTCTTAATTTATTAATTAAAATCCAAATAAAATGAAAAAGCGCAATTTACATAATAGAATGCAGAACGAACTAATTATCGCCCGTAAGCAAGCAATATAGTAAGTCGTACAATATTAAGTTTAAGTTCAGCCTTTATTCCTTGAATTAAACACTCATCTGACAACATTGAGCTTGTTTTTTGCCAATAACACAAGACATGTTTGTTCCAAAAATATGTCATTTATTATGAAATGACAACATATAATATAATACATAAAACTGAATAAAAAAGACTGGGAGACAATGTAACCTTAAAACACAATTCCTGAGAAAATTTATAATACAATTATGCAATAACAATTGGTCTCCCAGTATAAGACTATTACATAACATATATAATTTGGCAAAATAGGTGGCCTAAGTAATCCAAAAAATATTTCAGCAAATGTTCGGCCGTCTTGTCTTTACAATAGCAGTAGATATAATGATGCTAGTTCTCTTATCTCAAAAGGATAAAGTTACCGGGGGTCCCCACGGGTTTACAGATAATGAGGCACAAAGTGGGGAATTACAATTTAACATAAAATACATGAAACTTAACTTAAAACAATTTTACTAGCATAAAATATCATTCTCGTCAGATAGTGCGATCAATATTGTGATAAACCGTACTTAGATCTCTAACGCCTTTTTGAAAAATCTTATTTTAATTATTATTTACTTCTTATTGTGGTCAAAATAATCTTGAAATCAATTCATTGAAAATAAATATTTTTTTTTCAAAGAAAAAAACATTTCTCAAGGCTTACATAACTAGTTAGTCGACAAATATACATGGACACGGCATGATTCTTGGGAGTTTTAATTATCTGTGTTTATCTCTTGAGCTTATTTGTAATAAATTAATTTTAAATTTCTGCAAATAAAAAAGTTGAATAATTGGCAAGTTTATCAGACATTGAATCATTGGAAACATAAGGATAAAATTTGTAATTATAATTTAAGTCATTTCATGCTGCCATTTTTGTTCAATCTATCCCCCTTTCTGCATATCATGATATCCAATTCAATCAAATTATACGACCCACATACATGTACATTGTCTAATAGATTGAACAAAATCCGTTTTCTTTTATCGGAGAATTACCTTAGAAATAATTATTTTTAATCTAAAATATTAAGTCTTGCATATATTTAGCTACAGAAACATCAATTTCCGTTTTTTTTTCTTCAAAGTCTATGAAATAATATTGATAATTCTTTGAAATCTTAAATAAGTAATATTAAGCCGTATTTCGTTTTGAAAATATTGATTCCTAAATATTTTGAACTATTTTGAGTGAAGAAACGTGCGTTTGCGTTAACAATCGTGTAAGATCGTGTAATGTGTAGAATCGTGAACGTGAAAGATCGTTCGTGTAACAGGTTTAATAGTGCGTTAATCGTGCGGAATCGTTCGTGTAATGTGATCGTTCGTGTAAGTTGTCAACAATAATGTTGCAGCCACTGTACCACGGTCTGTTTTTCCGTGCAAAGATATACTAAAAAGTTGAAGTAGACTTGCTGTAAGTCATAGGAACATGCTGGTGCAAAACTTGACCAATCTGTCCTGACCCATTAACATGTCTTACACTGTGGACAGCTCTGCTGGGAATACCTAGCTATTGTTACCTGTCCTGTCGGACAAAATTCTGCAAGGAATTCTGGGTGATTTACTAAAGAGATGCCCGAAGGGCAATACTTGAAACAAAACAAGGGGTACCCCATAGGTTTAAACTAGTGATTGTTACAGTATTTTATAGTGGGGGATTAAATGTGTACAAGATATATTGTGTAAATGATAAATTTGTATTTTAAGTGATTTAATCCAAAACTAGAGGTACTGTGAGCAATGAGCTCACTAAATGATACCCCCGCCTCCCATAATGTTCATGTTTTGTTTTATATTGTTTTACGGTAATGTGTAATGAGGAATAACTTGTCATATCAAATGTAATCCAGAAGCTTCTATATGTGATGCCATAGGTAGGCAAATAATGGCAATGTCCATGTTTTGCTATGGGAAACCTAAAATACGTGTCGAATAAAAAAGTAAAATAGGAGGTGCACAATGGCAATATGTGGTAAAGATTCTCTGAAAGTTTCATTAAATTTTACCCAGTAGTATAAGAGGAGTTTTGGATAAGAGATGGGTACCCCAAAGCGTAACAGACGGACGGGTGTACAGACGGACGGACGGACGGAAATACCGATTACTATATACCCTCCCGCTTTTCAAGCGGGAGTACAATAATATATTCCATTTTCCGTTCCGTTCCGCTTTCCGTTCCGTTTTCCGTTCCGCATTTTAGCAACACCCGCAATAATCATGGTAGAATTATTCTTATTGCGCTTGTATATGATATGGGGCGGGACCAAAATTCAATTCAAAATAGATTTAAACAAGGTGCCCCTACTCAAAATAAAGATCAAAATAATCCAAATTATATTTCTATTTTTAGTAAACTACTATTCCATAAGGTAACACATGTCAGTGATTAAGACGAAAAGTATGAGTAAAATTAAGATATTTTACCGCACCCCTTTTTTAAGTCTGAAACTGGGAAAAAAAGTCAGTTCGGATGTATTATACGCAACAGAAAAGTTTACCAAGCGTTGTTCTGAACTTTGAAAATCGCGGTAATTTGTTACATAAAATCGGCGCGAGGATTAAGTGTCCTTTCATTGGGACGTATGGACATGATCAATGGAGGGTTGTTTATGTTGCAGCAGATTTTCATTGAGTTATTTAAAACCTAAAATAAATTTTTATTTTATTGTATTTCATTAAAAAATGACTTATTACTTTGTCTGGCAGATAAGGTGCATGTGCACTATCAATACGGAAGCATGTGGCATAGGCAGGAGTGAACGTCTAAAAATAACATCGGTAATGGCGGCCTACTCGAAGACACTCAACATGCAGCTCAAATTACTTTTAACTTGCTTTTTTATGGTAATTTAGTATCAAAAGATTATGAATGTGACATTTTTAACAAGCATACCCTCCAACAATAACTTTCCGAAGTTTAAAATATGGCCATAAACAAAAGAAATTGCATATGTCTCAAGGTAATACTACGGTATGTACGCATGATAGCCGTGTTTCGCCTGAAAGAAAAATTTTTCAAAGTCCCATTGTGATGTAAAATACGCATCTCTTTCTCAAAGAAATTTAATATATGAAAAAAGTGTGTATTATATTCCCCTAAATACGGTAAGTGGAAATTTTAGCGATACACAAATTTAGCGATTTGTCCTTAAAATGGGTATTTTTTATTTTTAGCAAGATGTAATTTTAGCAATTTAAAAAAAGCTCACCAAAGAAGCTATAAAAAATAAAGCACAATTAATTTTTAGTGATATTTAATTTTAGCAATCATGTTACCCTCTCTAATACTGCCAAAATTATATCTAAGCTAAAAATTCTTCTTATATGTTATTTTTTATTTTTTGTCAATTTACAGGGGCTGTAGGCAAATCATTCTTTGCTACTTCCTATGTACCCAATGCATAACTGTATAACATTGGAAAGATATCGAGCATCTGCTCTAGAGTCGTGAAGTAAAGAGTTGATCCTTATGTTGCAGGTCCGAATCCCACTGTGGGACAAAGAGACCGGTCCTTCGGATGAGACCGTATGAATCGAGGTACCGCGTAACAGTAGGTACTGGCACTAAAAAGATCCTTCACTGCTCAATGACCTTTAGTCTGAGTACAAGTCAAAATTTGTAGCTCTCAAGCAGCAAGTTGTGGTGACTCAATATATGAGTGAAAAATTCTCAAGAGGAACGTTAAACAATAATCAAAACATAACTGTATAAAATTCAACTGATGTTTAACATTTTTCGGTAGATCCTCCATCGACTGCCCCTGACATCACAGCCTCCCCTTCAGGACTTCAGTACAACACAGAAACTACAGTCAACTTGACCTGTCAACTTTCAGGAGGAAACCCTATTGCCACGTTGTCATGGATATGTAAAAAAACAGGAATTACAGGAATCAATCAGAGTAACTCGACTACAGCTGTCGCTGTATTGTCGTTGGTGATGGATAGTTCCTACAACAATCAGCTGTGTACTTGTACAGCTAATCACAGCCTCCTTACCAGCCCTAAATCTACGAGTGTGTCACTCACTGTATTTTGTAAGTGAACTTAATGACACATTTGTATAATTATGTTCCACAAATGGAGTTTAGTAACATATTGTTTTTACTCTGTTTCTTATTATCATGTCACCTAGACGAAGTTGGCCGACATATTGCAATTGTATTCATGAAAATGTTCTTAGGGCTTTTTCTCGGAGATAGTTGGGAAAATCTTCCTGAAACATTCCCCAAAAGATGATCATTGGTTGTAGTTTTCAGGCACGTAGCAACATGGGGGCCTGCCCCCTCCCACTTTTTTTCCCAACATTACCTTTACAATTGAAAATGTTTATCGAAAGGTTTGTTGGGCACTCCCCACTTCTTACCACAGTAAAGTGATATAAAGGAAAATTAGTATTGTATGCCAAAAAAATTTGAAGTGAAAGAAAGTTGGCATTGAAAAAAGTTGACCACAACCTTTTTGAATAATTAAGTTAGCGTAGACTTGATTTAGCGCATTTCTTAATGTTTTTATTAATGTATAAATGTTTTAGAATTTAGCGTTGTACTTGAATTAGCGGTAGTTTCTTTCTGCAAAAAATGCTAAAAAGAATACACCAACAAATGTAATATGTTTACAGTAATTTGAGTATTATACTATCCCATAAATATGTTTTATAGAGTATTTGAAATGATTTTTGGATGTTATTCAGACTGTAAATATTTAGAGTTTCATCAAATAACTTTGAAATAGAATAGAGTAAACCAACTTGAGTCTTAATCTTGGTAAGAAATGCTCACCTAAGATAGACAGCATATACTCCAACTAATACAACCAGCACCTAATCTCAATGCTGAGCGATTAATTTTCCATAGTTGGGAGAAAGTAATAAGAAATATATAAGTGTATATCATTATATTATTTTTTCAGTTTTTAGCTCTTCTGAGCCAAAGGCTCAAAGAGCTAATGCTATGGCCATTTGAGCAGTGTGCGTAAACTTTTTAGAATATGGGTCATAACTCAAGAGCCCCTCAAATTTGTCACAGGGTATCTTTAGCCAAAGGGCTACCATTTATATTAAAACTAGGGTTGGGGCCCTTAAACAAGGGGAGATAATCAGAAAAATAAAACCAAAAGTACTGTTTGCTAAAAAAATCTTCTAAAACCACCAGGCGGATTTTCAAGGTATCAAGGTCAATTCAAAATTGACCAAAAATTTTACTTTACAAAAACATTGATATTTTGCTTATTATAAAGACTAGGATCATCAAATCTTGTAAGTTGATACATTTTAGGACTTTACATCATGTTAACTCAAAAGTAGGTCACGGTGACCTACTTTTTAGCTCACCTGAGCCGAAGGCTCAAGTGAGCTTTTCTGATCAAAATTTGTCCGTCGTCTGTCGTTGGCGTCGTCGTCGTTGTCGTTGTCGTAAACTTTTCACATTTTCATCTTCTTCTCAAGAACCACTGGGCCAATTTCAACCAAACTTGGCACAAAGTATCCCTGGGTGAAGGGGATTCAAGATTGTTCAAATGAAGGGCCACGCCCTCTTCCAAGGGGAGATAATTATGAATTAGTGAAAAATTAATAGCATTTTTAAAAAATCTTCTTCTCAAGAACCACTGGGCCAGGAAAGATGAAACTCATGTGGAATCATCCTCAGGTAGTGTAGATTCAAATTTGTTCAAATCATGACCCCCGGGGCTAGGGTGGGGCCAAAATGGCCGACCAAAGTTTTACATGGGAATATATAGGAAAATTCTTTAAAAATCTTCTTCTTAAGAACCACTGGGCCAGGAAAGATGAAACTCATGTGGAATCATCCTCAGGTAGTGTAGATTCAAGTTTGTTCCAATCATGACCCCCGGGGCTAGGGTGGGGCCAAAATGGCCAACCAAAGTTTTACATAGGAATATATAGGAAAAATCTTTAAAAATCTTCTTCTTAAGAACCACTGGGCCAGGAAAAATGAAACTCATGAAGAATCATCCTCAGGTAGTGTAGATTCAAGTTTGTTCAAATCATGACCCCTGGGGCTAGGGTAGGGCCAAAATGGCCGACCAAAGTTTTACATAGGAATATATAGGAAAAATCTTTTAAAAATCTTCTTCTCAAGAACCACTGGAATTGGAAAAATGAAACTCATGTGGAATCATCCTCATGTAGTGTAGATTCAAGTTTGGTCAAATCATGACCCCCGGGGCTAGGGTGGGGCCAAAATGGCCAACCAAAGTTTTACATAAGAATATTTAAGAAAAATCTTTTTAAAAAATCTTCTTCTTAAGAATCATTGAGAAAGGAAATATGAAACTTAAATGAAATTATCCTCAGGTAGTGTAGATTCAAGTTTGTTCAAATCATGACCCCTGGGGCTAGGGTGGGGCCAAAATGGCTGACCAAAGTTTTGCATAGGAATGTATAGAAAATTTTTTTAAAAAATCTTCTTCTCAAGAACCTTTGGGCCAGGAAAGACGAAACTTATGTGGAATCATCCTCAGTTAGTGAAGATTCAAGCTTGTTCAAATCATTACCTCTGGGGCTAGTTTTGGGCCCAAAATGGCTGACCAAAGTTGTACACAAGGATATATAGGGAAACCTTTCAAAATCTTTTCAAGTACTTCAAAGCCATGATTAGTGATATTTTTCTATTTATATGGAATCATCCTCAGGTAGTGTAGATTGTACATTGTTCAAATCATGACACCCAGGAGGGTTAAAATTCAAGCCCCCCCCCCCCCCCCCAGTAAACTTTCAGTTTTGATCTGATATGTGCTTTTTCCTAGTAGATGTGCTCAGGTGAGCGATGTGGCCCTTGGGCCTCTTGTTTAATTTTGCAGGCATTTGTTTTGAAATTGATTTTGAGACATATTTTGGACATTTTAAGGCCTATGATCATCATACTTGGTCAGTTGATGCAACTTGGGTTCTTGAACAACGTCAGCTTAAAAGTAGGTCACCATGACCTACTTTTTGAATTTTATGGCTAATCTTTTCTAAAACATGTAATCCTATTAATTCAGACACTGAGAGGTTTAGTATCATCAAATCTTGTAAGTTAATGCATTTTGAGGCCTTAAGTGGGCCGAGTGAGTGGGGTTTTATGTACAGCTATTTATAAGAACCAGGCAGAAATGAAAAGAAGTGATTCATGATAGTGATAGATTTTTCAAAAACTATCATATTTACATTAAGATACATCAAACTAAATACTTAATCACAGTTATAAATGGATTTCATGCATAGTTGATTAAAAAATGAATTCAATATATACTGAAAAAGTCAACACTATCTATTGAAAGGTGTCTGTACGTGCAGGTGATTTTTTAAGAAGGCCCGCACTCTCCTTGAATGTGAATTATAAAATATTGAACATCTGGTATCAAAGAGTAAAAAACAATTAGAAGGGGAGGATTAAGAAATGTGTGTGATTTCATCTTCATTTTGGAAGTTTTGCCGGTTTTCATACATCCAAGGGGCATGTAAGTCTAAGATTTTTATTAGAAAAATATAATCCTAGGATGAAAAAAATAACTGCCTGCAATTTGCTTAATTTTATCTGACAAAAGCAAAATTTTATTTCCTAAACATGCTAAGAGTTTGAGTGTTTTGAAAAAGGCGAACTTGTTTAACAATAACATCAAAACTACTTAAATTCAGATAATTTTGGGGAAAAACATTTAATTTTGTACTGGAATTTGAACAGTAGCTCGCTGCTGTGGATTAGAGTATGATGAATATCTCTCCTTTCCGTCGATACTCCTTAGTACTGCAATATACAAAGTCGACTGGAAGAAAGCGCCTCGACCTCAGCATACATGAAGTCATAGCAAGAAGCAGTGAAAGCCACAGCAGAGATTGGATGGAGCATAATTTTTTCTATGTCTCGACGCCTCTATGGATGTCATACTAGATCAGGTATTTAATACATAACACAGACAAATGTCTAAACAAAGACAATATTGACTATTTTTTTCGAATTGAAAAAGGGAAAAGTCAAGAAAAATTGATAGCAAACATACAGGCTGACTGCTAGTAAAAGTTATCAGTCCTGCTAAAAATCTAACAGCCTGAGAAAATAATTGTCTTTTGTAAAATTGATTTTTGAAACTAGAGGTACTGTGAGCAATGAGCAAATGATATCCCCCCCCCCCCCGGCGAATCCGGGATGTTTCGCGCCAATTCTGGATTTTGGTGCGAAACATCTCCCCTCTTTTTTTTTAATATTTCATTTATTTTGTAATAAATTAAGATTATTTATTAAATCTTAGATATAAATATGTGTTGTATGCTCAAAATCATGACTTTATAATATGCGGTGCCACAGGTAACGGATCATAAATGTTAATATTGTGACCGATTGTTGAGTGTGTGTGTTCAACTATTTAATTGTAATTGGTTGGAGGTCAAAAGGTGAGAATTATTTCATTACAGCAATTATAAAGTCGTACAGCAATTATCTGCGTGAACTTGAAAACATATACCGTAATTTCGGGAATATAGGTCGATACTTTTTTTCTCAGAACCGCTGGGGTCGACCAATATTCAGAATTCGACCTATTTAAGGCTCAAGTTTATGAAAAATGCCCCCAAATCAGTAAAATTTACGCCAATTTCAAAGCAAATCTGTGCCACTTTCGTAACTTTTTTGATTATTTTCGCAAAAAAATTAATGCTCCAGTAAACAATAAAATATTTATTCTATAGCTTTCTTACAAAATAAGTTCCATTAATTATCTGTTGATGACAAAGGAAAACAACGTTGCTATATCTATTAAATAATTCCTCAACGTATTATCCATTAACATCATGCGGTATCCATCTTGTGAAGTTAGGAAGTTGCGATCGTGTACTAAAAGTAAAACCGCAACCGTATCAAAATTTAAAAATACGGAAAATTTTCACGATCACAACTGTTGTGTTTTTACCATTTATTAGTAGCGATAAATTGAAATAGTATATCAAATATTTTTTATTGTCTTATGTTTATTTAAATGTAAAACGAGTGAAATAATCAATTCAATTCCTAAATTTAATTTTAAAAAAAAGTCATTACTGTTTTGTTTTTTTTTAAATATTAATTAATTATTTACCGGTATACACAAATTGGCTTCTAACAGAATTTTAATTGTCTGACAGATAAAGGGATTTACCGTACACTGTGTACGCAAAGGTGTTTAACACCTGTGTTCACTGTTGGTTTAAATGCCTGCGGGGCATGATTAAGAAACCCACGTGCCATTATAGGGTATTAGTGTTACACATCATTGAACAAACAATGTCGTGAAATTCATGTTGAAAGTCAAATTGTGAATGTACTCTCAATTAAAATTTATAAATTAAACTTATAGAGTGTTAATATGATTTCAATTCTTTACTGTTGCTTGATATATACATTCAATGGTCATTTGCGTGTTTTAGCAAATCCCTGGAGAAGAAAAATAAAAATGGCGGACATCGAAGTAATTGTCGTCCACCGGTAATGTTTGAGTAAAATTTATTAGGAATGTGTCCAAGTTGATCTGAAATCGGAATTACTATTCTTTGGTCTCGGGTATCTCCCGATTTATAGCTGTAAAATAATAACGTATTTACGTGTTATTTATGCCTCTGATTTAACAACAGTGTGAAACTACGGAGGCATTGAACAGGCAAGTTGGAGAAAAAGAAGTAGTTACGCAATTCAAAGAAGTTTTAACTACATTTTTTTTTACAAAACAGTATTTAATTGCTGTACTCATTAAAATACCTGTTTATTTTCTTGATACGTTCATGTCATGGAATAACCCCGATAATTTTAGGGGTTTACCTGTTCTGATACGTTGTATCTGCGTTAAAATCTTAAGAAAACGGGAAACAAAGCCTCGTCCTATATAGTAAGTTCGACCTATCTTAGGATTTTTCAAAATTTAAGGCTGAAAATGAGCCTTTCGACCTATATACCCCATCGACCTATATTCCCGAAATTACGGTAATTTGTGTTATTGAGAACATGTGTATAGAATAATTCACCAGGAAGTTTTATTGTCAAATTTAATGAGCTAAACATATTTTCTTAGTCGATAAACTAGGCTTTATAAATGGCCAATTGTTTTTTCTTTCATCTCTATATTTCTTTACATCAATATTAATTTACAATAAGTGAACCATCTTTTTTTTAAGTCATTCAATTATAGTTAAAAAAAAGGGGGGGGAGAGTAGCTATGAGACCACTGCCTCATTAGATTTTCAGCACCATCCTCTTCCTACATTAATTTAATACATCATAGGAGTCAGAAAATAATTTATTTCATTCAAAAACCTAATTGTTTCATTTAAACAAATCAATAAAGTATTGTGCATGTACTTTCATGTCAGTTTCAAAATTCATGAGATCAGGCTCTATAGTTTTAAAACCGAAATTAAAGTATTTTTGTGGGAAACTATTAAAATATACATGGACCAAAAAAAGGGGGGGGGGGGGGCAGACAAACATTGCGCACATATAGTAACATAGAAATGCTGAAATAAAATTTGAAAGAATTTATGCTTATGCAGAAGGGATATTTGATTTATACAATCTAGAAAAATATTTTTTTAATACATCTTAAATTATGTTTATTACATACATGCCAACTTTTGAAAATTTTCTTGGGGGAGATTGCGCGTAACGACATTTTTTGAAGTTCCTAATTCGCGGCGTTTTGTCGTGAAATAACTTTTTGTAGGTTGTATTTTTTTCTAAATTATCAATCTACTACCTTAATTATATCATATATTATTACTACTTCAAAAAGTGTTTTCTTCTCTATCAATTAACTAAAACAAAAGCACAAATACTATATCATTTGAAATTTTTAAAAAAAGACAATTTTATTCAAAATTATTTAATATGTTAATATTAAGATAAATATACATGTACCCCCCTGTCTTAAAGAATGTGATACACAAAGTTAACATATTACTACATGAATAAGGATGTTAAACTTTACAAATAAGCTGAACTGTTCATTGTCTGTTGGTAAATTACAAAGTTTATAAGGCTACTGTTATACAAAATATTGTTAAATTATTTTTTTCTTAATCAAAGGGAATAATAAGAAGTCATTTTTAACTTTTCAATCAACATGATCAAAGTCTGCAAAAGGCATGGTCTTTTCCTTTCTTTCTTTTTTTTTAATCACTCTGGGCAGTCCTTATATGGTTTTTACTTGCATGCACATTTTTTCCATGTTGGATTTTGGCAGTGTCTTTTCCATGAAGTAGATTATAATTTATTGAGGAATGCAATATTCCAAAACTTGAAGTTGAACACCTTTTATGAACAATTTATACGTATATATTGTCGAAGTCTGTAGTAAAGTGTGAACTCTCACAAGTTTGTCAGTTTGTATCCAGTGTCTTGTGTATTTCTAAAATTTCCACATCTGGCATAATTGTCTCGGTTAAAATACACTGTTAATGAGGCTCAGGAGCAATTAAAACCACTGTAATGACTGGTGGCACAGTTGACACCTTGTTGATTACCTGTTATCAGCGGCAATAAACAGATATCCTACCGATAAACATTGAAACAGCCATGTTTTCTGCACACGGAAATACTGTATTATTCAAAGCGAATCGGTAAAAAATCCGGATTTTCGAAATATCGGTAGAAATGGGAGAAAAAAAATTAATCGGTAGACAAGCGGTAGACAGGGTTAAAAATCGGTAGACTCCCGAAAAAATCGGGAAAGTTGGCATGTATGTTATTAATTTCCTTAACCTTAAACTTAGGAACTGCAGCCATGACATAAAGTAAGACAACACAATGTTAAGTTTGGGCAGACATAACCATGATTTATTTGTTATGCAATGAAATATAAAATACATTAGACATGTAAATGATAATAATCAGTTGAATGAAATCATGGTTAACCTCTAACTAAGATCTACACAGACTCACACTCTTTACTCTCGTACAAAAAAAAAAAAAAAAAAAAAAAAAAAAAATTTCGTGACCTTTCCCCTTTGCCAGTTCTCAGAAAAGTGACGCTTTCCTGGAAAGTTGCAGATAGTTATTATGAAATTACATCTTTTGATTGGCTAATTAATTTGTTTTTATTTAAAAATAACTCAATCAGGGCTCTGATTGGTTAAAAAGGTCCCTGTCGCCAGGGGGCGCCTGGTACTTGACCAGTGGCAATATTGCCTAGAGGGTCTCCCTCTATTGTTTTAATTTACGTAAGTAGATGAATGCCCCCTAGGGGGTACCCCTCAATTGCTAAAAGCCCCGGACTAATTGACCATTAATTAAAACCAAAATGGCGTCAATATAAACAATAAAAATAACACAAATAGAGACGTACAAACACATGAAGTTATGAATACATATAATAGTCATGGACATAACACTACAGAAACATATAACACAAAAAGAGACTGTTACATGAGTGTAAAGTGCCTTAGATAAACGAAGCATGAAAAGTATGTGTTACATAACATGAGAAGGCACGTTACATAAATTAATAACAATTAAACACTGTTTAATATTATATTAATTTCCTTAACCTTAAACTTAGGAACTGCAGCCATGACATAAAGTAAGACAACACAATGTTAAGTTTGGGCAGACATAAACATGATTGAAAAGTATGTGTTACATAACATGAGAAGGCACGTTACATAAATTAATAACAATTAAACACTGTTTAATATTATATTAATTTCCTTAACCTTAAACTTAGGAACTGCAGCCATGACATAAAGTAAGACAACACAATGTTAAGTTTGGGCAGACATAACCATGATTTATTTGTTATGCAATGAAATATAAAATACATTAGACATGTAAGTGATAATAATCAGTTGAATGAAATCATGGTTAACATCCAAAAGCCCAAACGGAGTAGGGTGTAGGGGAAAAAGAAATAAAAACAATAAAATTAAAATAGAATAAATAAAAAAAAAAAAATAAATAAAAATCTTTCACACAACATGCACACCTATTCTAACAATTTAAACAAATAACAGCAAGTCAAGTGGTGGTAGTAACAATTACAAACAGTGATATTGCACATGATGTTTGTTATAATTGTATAGTCAGGAATATGTAGGGTCATCACATCCAGCGTGAACATCTTTTCGACAGTTTGTGTGCTGCAGACTCGACGCATCGGTGATCTAATAGGAGGAAGCACCACCAAGAATGAGTACGGTAATTGAAGAGCTGTACATTAGCTCATGAAATAGTCTCACCACAGCTTGAGCGAAATTCGCATCGAGTGTCTTAGAATAGGTGAACTCTCCGAGTAAGCACAAGGTAGGATAGCACAGGGAATAGTTAGTCGCACATGGCGGCGTGGATGAAGGAATGTGAATCCTGTGAAGGCCAACCCACAAAAGCACCTGCCACAAGCAACTTAACTAAGCATAACACATATATATCAAATATCAAAAATATGTACATAGATCAATATACCAAAAAGGTATGCTCACATGGCAGGTTAGTTTGGGTATTTTCGTTGGAATTCTGAACCTAACCTGGCAGCTACCTGACACCGAAATGAAAGAGATGGGTCCAAATATGAACGATAGGCATCTGATCGCCAGTCTCCTTGGGACTGAATTAACTCGGGTGGTAAACCACACTCTAATGCAAAGGATGCCCCTCCCCTACGGAAACTGTGCCCTGAGAATTTATCAGGGTTAATATCCATCTTTGATAAAACATGTTTTAGTTTTCGTAGAAAGGTTGAATATGATAATAAATGCCACTGAGACCCCACTAAATAGGTAAAGGCTGGCTGATGGGTCTGAGCAGATGGAAAGAGGCTAAAGGTAAGCTTTAACATACAACTCGGGCAAAAAGGGGACTTTGGGATATGGGGCAAGGGTACTTGCAGTGACCTTTGAGAGTATTGAATGGTTTTTGACCAGAGCACTGTTATCACTGCTCCATTAGAGCTGAAGGTAATATCAGACCTTGACAAATGTTTGTTAGGGTCAAATTTGTCCCAAGTTGGGGCAAGTAAGTTAGATTTCCTAAAAAAGGAGAAAAATGCTACTAAGCAGGCTGACCAGAAGGTGAGATCCTCTGGGCTTTGCAGATTAATGAACTGAAACATTCTATATAAAATGTCAGGGGTGATGGGCAGCTTAGGATTGGATTTTGCACCTAGGAGGCGTTTAACTCCTTTAAGGAGATTAGTAATTTGCAAGGATTCTAAAGGATTTGGGTGACCTGCTTCTAGGTGCAGTATGCATACGATTGACAAATAATTACGAATCGAAAAAAAAGATAACCTAAACGACAGAAAGGCTATGAATCTGCACAAATTATCAGGTGATATTGGCACCAGGGCAATGCCCAGGGAATTACAGAACAACAAGTAAGACTGAAGGTAAGACCCGTATGTCCTCTTGGTAGAATCAGCCAGGATGTTGCATCTAAGCAACCGCACTCTTGCATCTAGGGAAGTGGTTGAAGGCTGGTGTGTGCCTGTCAAAAAGACAAGAAAAGGTGGGCTTAGAAATATGTGAATACCAGGTACTCACATCCACGTATCCTGTGCGAGGATGTGCAATGGAATCTAAGAAGGTGGTAAAATTTTGCTTCTCATGGAGGCGAGAAATAAAATCTGCCTTACAATTAAGCTTACCAGGTACATGTTTGGCAGTAAATCTGAAATTGTAAGTGGCTGAGAGCCAAAACAAACTGCGGAAACATTGCATGAGAGCAGAATTTTTTGACATGCATTTATTAATACTGGCCACTGTGGCTGAGTTGTCAGAAAACATAGTAACCCTATGGTGGGCCCAGAGTGGGGCCCAGCGATGAGCCACGATAACAACAGCCAAGATTTCTTTTTCATTGATATGCATATTGGTTGCAGAAGGTAAATCTAATTCCCAATTGCAATAGAACCAGTCGTGGTTCCATGAACCCCCTGCACCCAGTGTGCAGGCATCAGTGTAAACTGATGTAATTGGCTTAGTATGGAGAAGCAGGGACTTCCCATTGAAAGTTTGAAGGAATTGGCTCCACCAGGAAATATCCTGGAAGATCTCACCTGACAAGCGAATCTTGTGAGATTTGTGCTTGAGGCCGGTAAAGGCATTGATAATGCGGCGCAGGAACACTCTTCCACCGTATACCACTGATGCGGCCCAATTAAGTTTCCCAGCTAGGGATTGCAATTGGTGCTTTGAAGCACGTTTGCGCTCTGTAAAGAGATTTAGCTCATTGCGAAGCTCAGATAACTTGCCCGCGGGCAGCCTAAGTTCCATATGTACACTACTAATTTCTATGCCTAGAAAAACTAATACTTGAGAGGGGTCAACTACTTTTTTCCAGTTTATATAAAAACCTAGTTTCCTAAGGAGATGTATTAACGTTGACAGAGCTTGTGCGCAGTCTTGTTTAGACTTCTCACAAATGAAGAAATCATCTAGATAAGCTACAATAATGTAAACCCTACGGGCCATCATTCTGCGAACTGCTTGGGAAAGTCTATGAAAAATACCAGGGGATTCTTTGGATCCAAATGGGAGTTTAGTGTCATAAAAATAAGAAAATTTGCCTGCAAAGGGCCATTTAAAACCTGTAACTTTTTGACTTTCTGCACTAATAGGAACTGATCTGTAAGCCGATTTTAAATCTACTTTGGCCATGTAACAGCCCTGTCTGACTAATTTAGTTGCATCATCTAACGACTGGTATTTGAATTTATAATCGTTTGACACATAATCATTGACTGCAGCACCTTTGGGGCGGCTACAGTCATGTATTATGCGAACGCCCCCATCTGATTTAGGAATAATGCCCATTGGACTAATTAATAGGGGGGGGGGTTTGGTGCATGAACATAGTTTCCTTCGCTAATTTCATCTAAAATCTGGGCGGTGGCTTTTGAAAATAATTCTGAGTGAGGGGAGGCTGAAGGGTGATTATCCATTTCAACTGACTGGGGGGACAGGGAGGGATCTATGATATGAAAGCCATTTTTGATACCTTGAAGAATGAAAGATTTATCTGGATCATATTTGAGTTCATCTTCCCAAGCAGACAGGATGAGACCTGAAGGTTTTAACCGTTTTTTGAAGCAGTATGATCAGCGGAAGAGTGTTTCTTGGCACAGCCCGGAATTGCGCACACATGTGAAAATCTACATTGTTTAGAGTAACAACCTTTCCTCGTGTTGTACCGCTTGCAAATTTCTGAACCCTGGGGTGTATGGGAAGCCCTAGGGGGAAATTGACCACTTGGTATAGGTCGTACAGACTTTGTGGGATTTGGCTGGGCTGATTGAACCCTAGGTTTTAAATAAACCGTTTGGATATGGGGGATGTCTGTGCCCCACCTAAATTTGTGCAGGTTCTGAAGCTTTCTGTATTCTCTGTCATAGAAAAACACAGACTTAATTTCGTACGACGCCAGAAGTTGGTACACCCTGGTGGTATACGATAAGTAATCTAGCATATGATTTGGCGATAAGGCATTTTCCTGCAATAATTTTTGCAGGATTGCTAAGTTGGCTACTGACCATTGGGACAGAGAAATGTTTTCCAGCTTGGGTTTTGAGGGCCCTGACTTAAAAACTAACTGCCCATCTTCATTGTTGGACAAAACTCTTTCAGATTGTGAGGCAGCAGCCAGATTAACAAAATCTACAATATCATGATATTGGCTTGATGTAGGGGCAGAAAGGGATTTAAGATAAATCTGAGGGTCCTGCCATGAGAACATACCTGGTTGGTCCAGTGTTGGGGCAGTGTTGATTGTGGGCTGGCTGGATCCTTGGGCTGATTGAAGTTGGCCTAACATCTCGGAGATGAATTTATCACTCGATTGTCCTTGCACTTGCTCTGTTGGTAACGGTGTCCCAGGCGAGGGATCAGCATGAACTTCCACTGGGGCCTCCGATGTTGTTGCACTTGGCTCTTGTCTACTGGTTTCCGCCGCTGCTAGGCCTCGCGGAAACGTCTGCCTTATAGAATGTAGGAGCAGGCGTTTTTGTCCCACAGGAATGGTTGAGGGCAGATCGTTTTCGACTAGTAATGAGAGCGCCTCCATGCTGTCATACCCCAGCTCAATAAGTAAACTTGCTGTGCGGGGTGAAAGTTTCTTCCGGTCGGCCCACTTAGTCACAGCGGCTTCACCGACTGTCATTTCTATTTCGTTGTCGGATAACATGATTAGATATAACAATAAACAAATGTACAATCACATACGTAGAAAATTCAGGCTAGTATTCACTGGGAACGCTGGTCACGCACACGGCAAGCAGGCACGGGAGCGAAATCCTGAGGGTAACAGAAAATACATCCATTACAGAATGCGGAACAGTCCATTGTTACCAGAAACAGCGCATCGGTAAGAACGTGATTGGCCTCCTGAATGATTTCGAAAAGTCTCTCAACTTCCTCGTCGCACATAACATACCAGGCTGGGATGCCGAAGAACGAGCGAACGTAAAGTCTCTGCGCCATGTTGAAAGAATTAGCTCTAAACAGGAAGCACGTGAATTTCGTCAGATGTAAAATTAGAGCAAAGCGGAAATTGAGAAAAAAAAATTTCGTGACCTTTCCCCTTTGCCAGTTCTCAGAAAAGTGACGCTTTCCTGGAAAGTTGCAGATAGTTATTATGAAATTACGTCTTTTGATTGGCTAATTAATTTGTTTTTATTTAAAAATAACTCAATCAGGGCTCTGATTGGTTAAAAAGGTCCCTGTCGCCAGGGGGCGCCTGGTACTTGACCAGTGGCAATATTCCCTAGAGGGTCTCCCTCTATTGTTTTAATTTACGTAAGTAGATGAATGCCCCCTAGGGGGTACCCCTCAATTGCTAAAAGCCCCGGACTAATTGACCATTAATTAAAACCAAAATGGCGTCAATATAAACAATAAAAATAACACAAATAGAGACGTACAAACACATGAAGTTATGAATACATATAATAGTCATGGACATAACACTACAGAAACATATAACACAAAAAGAGACTGTTACATGAGTGTAAAGTGCCTTAGATAAACGAAGCATGAAAAGTATGTGTTACATAACATGAGAAGGCACGTTACATAAATTAATAACAATTAAACACTGTTTAATATTATATTAATTTCCTTAACCTTAAACTTAGGAACTGCAGCCATGACATAAAGTAAGACAACACAATGTTAAGTTTGGGCAGACATAAACATGATTGAAAAGTATGTGTTACATAACATGAGAAGGCACGTTACATAAATTAATAACAATTAAACACTGTTTAATATTATATTATATCTGAATACTTAACACGACATCTATTCATCTAAAAATTATTATAAAAACATTGTTCGTGAATTTCTACTCAACAACATTATTGTCGGTGAATTGTCTATTCGGCGACTTTCACTTTTGTCAGTGACCTGTCTTTCGGTGAGTTGTCTGGCACCGATCTAGATCACCAACTTTTTTTTATATAGGTGCATAGACACAGATCTGAAGTTAATATATTCTTAAATATTCAAAAATGAAGTTTCAATGAGTTTGCATGAAATAATATTTTTCATTTATTTTTATTTGAAATGCTGTTAAGTCTCCAAATTTTATTTGATAGGTTCCCCAAGCCGGCTTAATTAGATGGCGGTATGCTAAAGTAACTTCTATAAACATAATTATCAGAGTGTAAAAATAATATACAACTAGAAACTCTTGTTGCTACAGCAACAAATAAGGTCTTCCGTTTCCTCTATTAATCTGTATGCAGGATGTTTTTTTTCTGTTTTAAAAAAGACAGATATATATTAAAAAAATAATAGGCAAAATGCAAAAAATAAAAAAAACTAGTAAACTAATTGTTCAGTGAACAGTTATCGGCCTTTCCACCTTTTTAAACATTTCAATATCATTTGGGCTGAAAAAAGTAGGAAAAAAGCAAGAAAATAAAAAAAAAACCCAGCAAAATTCTCATTTCTCTACTACGATTTTAGATCGGGCTCGCAGTTTGTATAATTTTACCCTAAACAGACTTCCTGGATTGTTTGTAGTCGACTCGGGGATAAGCACGAATTCTTTGATCACGCAAAGAGAGCACGTTAAAAACATTGTAACACTCTCCTATGTGTACATATGAGCTTGAATTAGATTGTTTTAAAGTTAAGAGGTAAGGGGTAGGGTCTGATTAAAATTATGATATACCTATTAATATGAATAACATGCATTTGATCTGCGCATCAAGACGGAAGCGTAAGTGAAAACGTTGTGAAATGTCCCATGTGTACCTGCATCATATGTGCATTATACATATATTAAAGAGATGTTTGAAAAATATCCGATTTGAGTTTTTTATGTTTGAAATGAATGGCGCTAAATTTTTTAAGAGCATGTGAGAAACATGAGCGAGAGATGCAAGGCAGTTTGTAATTATAGAAAAGGAAAACAGAGAATCGGGTTCGGATTTTAACATTCCTGACCGAAATAGGTATGGAATATGTGTGTGGATTAAATTCATTGTAAGTAGCATAAATAAAATTCCAAACATGTATTTCTAGATGGAAAACACAGGGAAGAAACGCGTATTGATTTTTATTATGCTGAAAGTCGCTATTTCTTATAAGATTGTGTTATTCTAGAAAAAAAAAATCAAATTTCAAATGAAATCAAGATTCATTCAATTAATATTAAATCTAAATAAAATTGAAATAAATTCCACATACCAAAGAAAGCTAGAATACTTGGTATTAAAATGTCGTATTAGAGCAGGAGAATCGAATGATATTAACAACAAATGAAGAAATAGCCAATACAAGCTTTAATTCATTTTATGCCCATCAGAATTTAAATTTTAGACAGAAATCGGCAGTTTTTGCCGATAATCCGTAGAATTTCATTATACTCAAGAGACTCACCGTAAAACTCTTAGGGCACTTTCTTTAAGGTGTCTTCTACTCAAATCCTTAATCTTATGTCGATCTGTGGTGTCTTTTCAGAGGTAGAAGTTTTTTTCTATGTTGCTATTGATTTTTTTTAAGGGACGGGAGGGGGGGGGGGGGTATTTTATAAGCATTTATTAAAATGAGAGTTGTTAATACCACCACATACTAAAGCTTGATTGTGACCTTTGGGTCAATGGGGTCAAAGGTCAAGGTCATTTATCAAAGGTCAAAGGTCAAGGTATCAGAGAGAGGAGAAGAGTCAGAGAGAGAGAGAGAGAGAGAGAGAGAGAGGTAAACTTGAGATTAACACTTGAAGCTGAATCTAGATAAAGGTAATAAATATTTCTTTATTACTTTTTGAGTAAGGGTCAAAGGTCTCATTTTGAGGACAAGAAATCACGTGACCTGAAGAAAGTAAATTTTAAAAGAAGATATTTGAGGTTACTCCAGACATTTGCAGTCTGAATAAAATGTCCCAAAATCATTTCCAATACTTTTTTTTATAAAAGATATTTATGGGATAGTACGATACTCAATTTATGCAGTTTTCTCTCATAATTGGAAGTCGTCGTTTTTGTTTCCATTGGGAAGAAAAGTTTAAAATTTTGATTTATTTGATAACTTCCTGTGATAACCGGAAGTGACGGCGGACGATCTTAAACTCAAAGGATATGTCTACTCACCAAGGTCTACCATCCCTATTAATTTGGTGTCTTAATCTCTTACCGTTAACGAGATCTTGCTATGATAACTTCTGATTTTGAGGACAGGAACTCACGCGACCGGAAGTGAATTTTACTGAGATATTAGACTTTACTGTAGACATTTGCAGTCTGAATAACATATCTAAAAATCATTACAAATACTTTAGCTATATAAAATTTTAAGGGAAAGAAAGATACTCAAATTATGTAGTTTTTCTCTTTTAACCGGAAGTTTTCATTTTTGTGTCCGTTGGGACTGACACATTTCGAAACTTCAAATAAGATGCTATAATGTGATGCAAAAAAAGTTTCATTAAAGAAAAGTTGATTTTTTCGATTTCTTTGATCACTTCCTATGACGACCGGAAGTGACGGCAGACAATCTTGCCCCAAATGGTTTTGCCTACTAATCAAGATCTATTACTCAAATAAGTTTGGTGTCTTAATCTTTTACTGTTTACGAGATCTTGCTATGATAACTTCTGATTTTGAGGACAGGAAATCATGCGACCGGAAGTGAATTTTACTGAGATATTATACATTACTGTAGACGTTTGCAGTCTGCATAACATATCCAAAAATCATTACAAATACTTTATCTATAAAAAGTATTTATGGGAAAGAAAAATACTCAAATTATGTAGTTTTTCTCATATAACCGGAAGTTGTCGTTGTTATTTCCGGTAAGACTAATATATTTTGAAACTACCGTAATTTCGGGAATATAGGTCGATGGGGTATATAGGTCGAAAGGCTCATTTTCAGCCTTAAATTTTGAAAAATCCTAAGATAGGTCGAACTTACTATATAGGACGAGGCTTTGTTTCCCGTTTTCTTAAGATTTTAACGCAGATACAACGTATCAGAACAGGTAAACCCCTAAAATTATCGGGGTTATTCCGTGACATGAACGTATCAAGAAAATAAACAGGTATTTTAATGAGTACAGCAATTAAATACTGTTTTGTAAAAAAAAAATGTAGTTAAAACTTCTTTGAATTGCGTAACTACTTATTTTTCTCCAACTTGCCTGTTCAATGCCTCCGTAGTTTCACACTGTTGTTAAATCAGAGGCATAAATAACACGTAAATACGTTATTATTTTACAGCTATAAATCGGGAGATACCCGAGACCAAAGAATAGTAATTCCGATTTCAGATCAACTTGGACACATTCCTAATAAATTTTACTCAAACATTACCGGTTGACGACAATTACTTCGATGTCCGCCATTTTTATTTTTCTTCTCCAGGGATTTGCTAAAACACGCAAATGACCATTGAATTTATATATCAAGCAACAGTAAAGAATTGAAATCATATTAACACTCTATAAGTTTAATTTATAAATTTTAATTGAGAGTACATTCACAATTTGACTTTCAACATGAATTTCACGACATTGTTTGTTCAATGATGTGTAACACTAATACCCTATAATGGCACGTGGGTTTCTTAATCATGCCCCGCAGGCATTTAAACCAACAGTGAACACAGGTGTTAAACACCTTTGCGTACACAGTGTACGGTAAATCCCTTTATCTGTCAGACAATTAAAATTCTGTTCGAAGCCAATTTGTGTATACCGGTAAATAATTAATTAATATTTTAAAAAAAACAAAACAGTAATGACTTTTTTTTAAAATTAAATTTAGGAATTGAATTGATTATTTCACTCGTTTTACATTTAAATAAACATAAGACAATAAAAAATATTTGATATACTATTTCAATTTATCGCTACTAATAAATGGTAAAAACACAACAGTTGTGATCGTGAAAATTTTCCGTATTTTAAATTTTGATACGGTTGCGGTTTTACTTTTAGTACACGATCGCAACTTCCTAACTTCACAAGATGGATACCGCATGATGTTAATGGATAATACGTTGAGGAATTATTTAATAGATATAGCAACGTTGTTTTCCTTTGTCATCAACAGATAATTAATGGAACTTATTTTGTAAGAAAGCTATAGAATAAATATTTTATTGTTTACTGGAGCATTAATTTTTTTGCGAAAATAATCAAAAAAGTTACGAAAGTGGCACAGATTTGCTTTGAAATTGGCGTAAATTTTACTGATTTGGGGGCATTTTTCGTAAACTTGAGCCTTAAATAGGTCGAATTCTGAATATTGGTCGACCCCAGCGGTTCTGAGAAAAAAAGTATCGACCTATATTCCCGAAATTACGGTACAAATAAAATGCTATAATGTGATGCAAAAAAAGTTTCATTAAAGAAAAGTTTAAATTTTCAATTTCTTAGATCACTTCATGTGACGACCGGAAGTGACGGCTGACGGTCTTATCCCAATTGAATTTGCCTACTTATCATGATCTACCACTTATTTAAGTTTGGTGTCTTAATCTCTTACTGTTTACGAGATCTAGCTATGATAACTTCTCATTTTGAGGACAGAAAAATCACGCGACCGGAAATGAATTTTACAAAGAAATTTGACGTTAATGTAGTCATTTGCAGTCTGAATAACATATCCAAAAATCATTACAAATACTTTATGTATGAAAAATATTTATAGGAAAGAAAAATACTGAAAATATGCAGTTTTTCTCTTATAACCGGAAGTTGTCGTTTTTTGTTTCCAGTGGGACTGCATGACATATTTCGAAACTACAAATAAGATACTATTTTGTGCTGCAAAACAAGTTTCTAAAAAGAAAAGTTGATTTTTTCAATTTCTTTGATCACTTCCTGTGACGACCGGAAGTGATGGCGAACTGTGCTAACCCAAATGGTTTTGCCTACTTATCAAGATCTATTACTCTTTGAAGTTTGGTGTCTCCATCTCTTACCGTTTCCGAGATCTCTTTGTGATAAGTTCTCATATTGAGGACAGAAAATCACGCGACCGGAAGTGAATTTAACAAAGATATTTGAGGTTACTGTAGACATAAGCAGTTTATATAACATATCTAAAAATCACTACAAATACTTTATATATTAAAAATATTTATGGGAAAGAAAAAATACTCAAATTATGTAGTTTTCTCTTATAACCGGAAGTTGTCACTTTAGTTTCCGAAGGGACTTATATATTTCAAAAATACAAATAAGATGTTATAATGTGATGCAAATAAAAGTTTCAAGAAAGAAAAGTTAAAAATTTTGATTTTTTGGATCACTTCCTTTGACGACCGGAAGTGACGGCTGACGATCTTATCCCAACTGAATTTGCTTACTTATCAAGATCTTCCACTTATATAAGTTTGGTGTCTTAAGGCCAAAGTTTTTTTTTCTCTTGGTTTACGATTCCGCCGACCCTATTTTTCCCTATTTACAAAAATAAAAATAATGTGTCTGACTCTCGAAACTGGACTCTTAATCCGAAATTTTCTCAACCAAACGACAGTTTTTAGAATTTACAACACATCTTAAACATTCAAATGACCTCCACAAATACAGATTTTCAAACCACATGTCGGAACAGCGCAAGGACCAACCTAGGGGGCGACTCACTTACAGACTGTATCTGTACTATTAATGACCAATGCATCGAATACTCCGTCGGAACTCCTCTAGATTTTATACTTCCGGGTATGAAAAAGTCCATCGTTACAAGTTATACACAACAAGACGCAAAACAACTGGACAGCTATCGATGTCATGCCCAAGATGTTGGAGAAGATTTTAGATCTTTTTATTGTCAAATAATTAATTCATGCTGTGAATACAGACATATTTTACTGTTAAATTGTGAAGTTATTAACTTCCTAAGAAGTCACACATCGGATCCGATAAACATAAGTAGTTCAATCAGCATGCAGATGTGCATCAAAACCTTTATTAAAAAATGAATTTTATATTGAAAACAAAGTTTGAAGAGAAATTAACAAAATTATGAGTATGCCAAAAGCCTGGCAATCTAATGAGAAGAGAAATTTTAGAAGTTTAAGGTTGTATTACTATATAAAAAATGAAAAAAAAAAATGTTTGATAAACAATTAATCTGATAAGAAACTTTTACATTTCAATTGTAGTACACATAGTTGTAAATTTTATGTAATGTCAATGTTGTTTTATTAATTTTTTTCTGTATATTTATATACCTTGTAATTTCGGGAAATATCTTTTAAGATTCTTTTTCTCTTATTAAATCATTTTAAATACAATGTTTATACAGAAAATTAATTGAAATGTTTGTAATCTATAAACAATGAAATAGTTTTATAACGATTTGTGTGTGCCAAGAAGTCTCCCTAAATTTCAAAACTTCTCCCTAACTTTCTTTGATGGAGAAATGTCTCCTTAAATTTCGGGTCTGGGTTAATTGGTCCCTGGACACACGTACCTTAAGGTAAAAGTTTGTTGTGAAAGCAGTCCATGACTTTCAGAGTTTCCAAAAACTTTTTCATACGTGGAAAGGTTGACCAGAGAATAGCAGATTCACTTAATTTTACCCATATTTGTCCCAGTGCAAACTCGGACTTGTAAGAAGAATGAAAACCATCAACAGTAACAGGGCATTTGGATACATTTCAATGCTACTCAAGAGAAAAATATGTCAAGGTTCCAAATTATTTTTATTTTTATTTTTCGACCGCCCAACGCATATTTTTGTGTCAAAAAATCGTAAACCAAAAAAAATAAAAACTTTGGCCTAATCTTTTACCGTTTACGAGATCTAGCTATGATAACTTCTCATTTTGAGGACAGGAACTCACGCGACCGGAAGTGAGTTTTGCAAAGATTCTTGACGTTACCGTAGATATTTGCAGTCTGAATAACATATCCAAAAATCATTACAAATACTTTATGTATAAGAAATATTTATGGGGTAGAAAAATACTGAAAATATGCAGTTTTTCTCTTATAACCGGAAGTTGTCGTTTTTGTTTCTGGTGGGACTGACATATTTCGAAACTACAAATAAGGTGCAATAAATTGATGCAAAAAAAGTTTCATAAAAGAAAAGTTGAAATTTTCGATTTCTTTGATCACTTCCTGTGACGACCGGAAGTGACGGATGACGATCTTACCCTAAATGGTTTTGTTTACTTATCATGATCTATTACTTATAAAAGTTTGGTGTCTTAATCTCTAACCATTTCTGAGATATGACTGGGACAAAACTTTTTTGAAAAAAGCGGAAATCGGACATATCTGACGACCGGAAGTGAATTTCGAAAAACTGAAAACTGCATCTAAAAGATATTTTTACTCTCTACCATCCCTGAAAATTTCATGAGAATCCGTCCAGTCATCTCTGAGAAATCGTCAAAACAAAAAGGAAAAAAAAAAAAAATAATAATAATAAAAAGAAAAAACAGTAGAATCTCTATAAGGTCTTCCGTCTGACACGGAAGACTTTAATTAGACTAATTACTTCAAATAAACTTGTACAATTAAAAATATAAACTAATATTCAGACTTCTACAAAATTTCGATACTTACATCAATATTCACAGATATTATAATTTATTATTTTTTAAATTCTTTTCATTCTTTTTCAAAACGAACGAAATAAATAACATACATTTCATGTTCTGGGAGCGAAACATCACGGGGCGAACCATCTCAGCGCGAAACTGAATTGGCGTGAAACATCGCGGTGCGAACCATGCATCGGCGCGAAACATCCCGTTACCCCCCGGCCTCCCATGTGAATATAATAGTGTCCATGTTTTGCTGTAGGAAAGTATTATATTAATAATGCCATACTTTCGTACAATACCACTATTTTTTTTTGCCTAATTTTACTCTTAAACACACGAAATCTCAGGAGCTTCTGGGGTTTTGCCCCCTGGACCCCCTTCATTCAAACTATGGTATGACTAACATATGACTGTACTTTGGACCCCCCCCCCTCTCCCCCCTTTTAATCACAAATCCTGTACTGCTCATGATACCATTAGTTGATTCAGAAGCGATTAATCAAATTAATAAATTTTAATTAATGAAAACTTTAAACAAGTCCAGCTGGACATCGATATGTGCAAACTGGTAAGCCCACAGCAGAATTTGTGCATCTTGGGCGGTCAGGCGCACTGTTATTTCAAACACTGTTTTCGGAATGGCCAATGGGTCCTTCTTAAAATAGTGAATATTTAATTAAGCCCTGAAAAACCCAGATGTTATATATGGCAAAACCATAATTACTATTTTTCTTATTCATTTAATCAAAATGTAAAATTGTGCCCTTTCAAACTGTATATTTTCAAACTTATATTTGTATGATATTCTTCAAACGCATTTCCTTTTATTTGAATTATAAATAAGGGTGGGGAGTCCTACAAAATTTAATTGACAAGCAAAACAACCAATAAAATACTGTTATGGTTTTATCAGTTGAAACGGGGGGAGGGGGTGTTAAAGCCATAAAACCCTATCCGAATAGGGGAGGGGGGGGCTTCCCAAATATTCCTACAAGCAAATATATACACACATAGAAAGAGAGAGATTTATAAATATGAGAACACATGCATGGGTTTCTGCCAATGTTTTGTCTAATTTAGGTTAAAAACTTAAAAAATAAAATTTGATCCTACAAAACTATATAACTCTTTTTCAATTTATAACTAATAGTATGAATTCATGATGATATCACAAGTACATGGGGGAGGGGGGAGGTAAATAAATATATATCATCAATAATTCAAAAGCTAAATTGTTACATAAATGTATGCATTCTCTTGTCAATTATAATGAATTTCATGATTTGTTATCATTTCAGATGCAATCTGAGCCTTGTTCTGAATTTCAAAATCCCCTTTGACACCACCTGCACAGCTGAGGTAATGTAAACTTAAAAATTGAGGACAACCATCACCAAGAAAAGATTATCAATTCAACTAACGTTAGTGTTATATATATACTTTATATTATTTATGTATCATTAGATAATTCGGTATTTTGTGTTGACAACTTGCATTTTCTAAAAAAATTATCATTATTAAGAACATTCCTTTTCGTTAATAGCAATCAAGGACCTTCTGACTAAGGGCTGATTTATAGTGAACACTGCCATTCAGAGACTTTGAAACAGTTATTTCTTCTGATCTTGATTATCTGAATTTTTTAGCTCACCTGAGTCGAAGGCTCAAGTGATCTTTTCTGATCAAAGTTTGTCTTTTGTCTGTCATTGTCATTCTTCAAGAGGAGAGAATTACAAAAGTAATAGCATTACTGATATCTTCTCAAGAACCAATTGGCCCAGGAAATATGAAACTTATGTGGAACCATTGTCGGGTAGTGTAGATTCAAATCATGAACCCCATTTGTAGGACAGGGCCACAACGGATGATCAGAATTTAACAGGAATATATAAAAAAAATATTTTAAAATCTTCTTCTCGGATACAGCAAGCATTGATTGGTAATATTTATATGAAAGGATTTTCAGGTGGTGTAGATTCAAGTTTGATCAAATCATGACCCTGGGGATAGGGTTGGACCACAAAGGCCAATCAAAGTTTTACATAAGAATATAGAGAAAAAATCCTTTAAAATATTCAGCCCTTCACCGGCAATGGTGACGTCTCCATATCGGTGAAATATTCTGGAGAGGGACGTTAAACAGTATACAATTAATCAATCAATCTGAAGAACAGAAAAGCCAGTAAGTTATATATATATACATATGGAAGCATTTTCTTGTAGTATAGATTTGTTCAAATCATGACCACCCACCCCCCCCCCCCACACCCCCCACACCCCCCACACCCCCCAGGTATAGGGTTGGGCCACAATAAAAGTGTTCAAACTTGTAAGGAAAAACTCACAATTAGTCAAAAATAAGTACCCTGTAAGCATCCTTAGTGTAGATTCAGTTATGTTCAATCATTAGTAACCTCTCTCTCTCTCTCTCCCTTTCAGGGAGAGGTCAGGACTACATATGCTTTGAAGCTCTTTAATACAAAACTGATTTTTGATTTTTATCCAAGCCAGGTAAGTGATGTGGCCCTGGGTCTCTTGTTAAATCATTTATCTGCACATATATATACAGTACAACTCGGTTATAACAAACTACACTACTGGATGAAAAAAGTGCTGAGAATCCCAAATTTTACTGATCAAGTTTGATAATTACTGATATGTTGCTGATAAATACTGATATTTACTGTTATTATTACTGTTGTTGCTGATATTTTTGTTGTTTCTGATAAATACTGATAATTACTGTTGCCTTTTACTGTTGAGTCTGATAAATACTGATAAATACTGTTGAGGTACTGTCGATGCTGAGATTTACTGATAATTACTGTAGTCATTGTTTTTAACCTGGTAATTTGTTTAAAATAAAACAGAGGGCCATAAAAACCTTCAATTATTACTTTCTTTTACTTGAATTATCATGACAAAATTTTCATATTTCTTTAAATGTTCTGCTTGTGACAAAATTACATGACTGTATGTATGTATGCTGATCTCAATTTCTACATTATGTTTGTGAAAATTTTGACAATAATCAAATGAATTATTAATAGAATGAATATATAGAAATAGAATTAATAAAAAAAAAAATTAACTGCACAAAAAAAAATGGAATTTTACTTTTGCATAAGATCTTATTGAAAAATAAACTGTAAATAAAAAGAAAATTATGCTATCTTAAAAAAGATCCATCGCCGCCTTTCCCGACTCCAAGAAAATTATGTAGGGAGATCTATGATCTTTTTTCAGTATTAAGAGAAAAGTTCTTAATGGATGGAAAAAAAAATCGGGATAAAAAAAGTTTCCTGCAGGTTAGAAAAGTTGGATTTGTTCCGTTTTCACTAGGTCAACTGGTCGAGTTTGGACAACATTTTGTTTTTGAAGGCTTTTTTTCTTGAAAACAATTATATTTATCTTGTTAAATGTTCAGTTTTCTGGTCTCTTTTTGTCGAAATATTTGAAAATTTGCTCGAAAATTAGAAATTTTATCCCTTTTAAAAAGTAACTAAGAGGTGAAAACAGGTTTGAATATGTTCAATCTGTGGGCACTGATTTTAATTAATAATTTATTTATTCATTCATTTATTTGAATGTTATGTAGACGTTTGTAGATCGTCCAAGAATTAAACTCCTCCACATGTACATATGTACAAGTACACACTGTATGCATGTGCAACCGGCATATGGGGCGAGCTGATTAAAAATTAGAGGTTAAGAATCCCTAGTGCAAAGGTACATGTGTTTAGTTTGTCTCTTAAAATTTAAATACAAAATCATTTTTTATTTAATCAGTTTTGAAATCTCATTAATTTTTTTAAATTTTATTTTATGGAATGGGAAATAAGAACTGAAATGAGACTTAATTTAATATGTTACTATTAGTGTATGATCAAATTGATCGATTTTAATTTTGCATGGTAAAAAGTTGAAAGGAAAACACATTTAAATTGATTTCAATTGATCAGAAATCGGTGATCGACCTGTGATTTGGCTGTATTGTGTACATGTCTTCAGCCCCGGGGTAGAACGGGGTACAACTTGTATATTCCATGCAAATTGTAGTGGTCAGCGTAACAATGGACACTAATTACCTATTGTTCTTCGTCTGGGGCTACCGGTGTTATCAATAAACAAACTACCTACACTGTACATGTACTCGCTACTTTGGAACAATCTTAAAGTTTATGGTCGCACGAAAAAAAAATTCCGTAATATTGAATTTGATGACGAATAAAATTGATAGAAAAAATATTTAGAATAGAACACTTTGGTACTATAATAAAAAAAAAAAGAAGATATATACATGTACATGTACATCATGTACGTTGTACAGACTTATTCTAATTATTATTTCAATTCTCAAAGATCTATCTTTCTTCAGTATTTAATTTCATTTTTTAGTTTTACGCATATTTCTTCAATCAATCAATCAATCATTTATCTGAATCTTTTTACCATTTTACATTAGTATACATAGACCACAAAAACATATAAAATGTAGGTGATTTTATACATAACAGTAGGTCTAAAGGGCATGCGTGAATAAGAAACTAAACAAAAAAAAATTTTAGGTTGCTATAAATGCGAAGTAAGGGAATTTAGGCCGGGAAGTATATTTTGTTTATCAGATAAAAGAATATCCCGGGGGAGGTGGTCACATGTATTTTCAATTCTGAAGGTTTGGGGCCGGTAAATACGTAGACGAGAAATTGACTTCACTTTTTAATAAAAAAAAAAAAAAGTGTGCAAAATTAATATACAATCATATAGATATAAAGAGAAAGATTGTTTAGTGAAGCACTTTTTTGAAATAATATTAGCATTAATTGTTCACAATTCTGATACAGGGAAACTCCACTTCGCTTAATCCGAGAAAAAAACCTTAAATGTATGGATTTTGAATGTCAGAAACATGACGTTGTGTATCGCACTAATGAATAAATGTTATAATTACTTCAGTTCTGAATTTTGAATGGTTCATTGCAATTGGTTCTGTAAAATAATTTTATTCATGCATATAAAAAATTCGATAAGTATAATATCATAACTTGCATGACTTTTAAAACACACAACTAAAGAACAGACCTTGCCCTATCGGCTATCACTATTTCATCCCCTCCTTTTTGTGCTACAATCAAGTAAAATTATATGAATAAGCACCAAGTCTGTACTGTTCGTTTATACAAAGGTCTTGGACAAAAATGGAATTAAAAAAAATTATAATCTCTGCACAAATTCTAATTTTACAAAAACGCAAGCTGTAACGATGTCCCTAATGCAGAATGTACTAATAATTGACCCGATTCTAAGTAGAACTTTACACGTGGTTGACATGTATGTTCCAGAACAACAAGCACAAAGTTTGCATTAATGGAAAAAGTTAATTCAAGTTCTGATTTATTTTATTTTGTTTTTTAACTGACTGACCGCATATAACATGTTTAAGGAGTGGCGCATAATATTAGAAGCCATATGCTCATAGACTTAAAACTGTACAATGAAAAAAGAATTAGCCTAAAGAAAGACGTGTATTTCATTGACTGAAAATCACACTGCATAAGATTTATGTCATGTAGTGTACAATACTTAAGCCTTAACAAATAATTTAAGAGAGAGAGAGAGAAAGCTAGAAAGCAACACAATGATATAAAATTCTCAGGGGGGACATCGGAGAACTATCTAGAGCGCACTGTCTACATAAATGTATATATAAAAAAAATAATTAAAGATGCTTCAATTTAATTATTTAACCCTGTCACATTCTTCTATAAAATAACAAAGTGTACGCTTCAAGACTAGATTTTATGACAAATATCTAATACTGTCTTGTTAAAATGAGAGCTTAATTTAAAAGTAAATGGAAAAGGGGGGGGGGAGTTTTCAACTTAATGTGCTCATGCATTTTCAGTTCTCCACACGGCAAAATAAATTAATATTTACAACTTGACTGTATTGAAGTATTAAAGATGCCCACAAAAAGCTTTTGATGACAGTACACATACATGTGAGAAGAAATATGAGATGATATTTTTTTAACCTTTATGAACAAAAATTAAACTTTTTAAAAAAGTACTTGGGAAGAAAAACCACTGCAAATACAACAGAATAATTTTCCTCAGATAATGTCATCTACGTGTAAGGAGAAATTTAAAGAAAAAACATAAACATGTATGATAGCTTATGTTAACATTATGGTCTAAAAATAATTATAATGAAATTAATAGCTGAATAAAGAAAACAAATTAATAGAACGTGACTTCTTTATTTAGAATAATTTATTTTGTAATTGACTGTAATGAATTTTTTAAAATACTTTTTTTTAAAAAAACAAATAATCATTTCTCATCCTATTTTAATCCATTCCCAGGTTAAAAACAATGACCACAGTAATTATCAGTAAATCTCAGCATCGACAGTACCTCAACAGTAATTATCAGTAATTCTCAGCAGCGACAGTACCTCAACAGTATTTATCAGTATTTATCAGACTCCACAGTAAAGACGACAGTAATTATCAGTATTTATCAGCAACAACAAAAATTATCAGCAACAACAGTAATAATAACAGTAAATATCAGTAATTATCAGCAAGAACAGCACCGTATCAGTAATTATCAAACATTATCAGTAAAATTTGGGATTCTCAGCACTTTTTTCGTCCAGTAGTGCTAGGACCTGTAAAAGTACTTCTCTATATAATTCGTTATATCCATATTTGTAACTTTGTAATATTTATATAGTTGGGGATCCAAGAAGACTT